ACCTTTTATATGCTAATGATTTGTTTATCTTTTGGAAGGGTGATTTCTCAGTTGTTTAAAGTCTAAAAAGCTATTTGGATGATTTTTTTCTCAATCTCTAGACTTAGTGCTAACCTGCTGAAGAGTCATGCATATTTTGCAGGTGTTCCAACTCATACAAAAAGAGGCTTGCTTGATATGCTTAGGATTGAAGAAGGGAGCTTACCGTTTAATTACTTGGGTGTCCCGTTTGTCTCTAAACGATTATTGTTGACCGATGTCTTCCATTAATTGAGCAAATAACTTCAAGAATGAAATCGTGGACTACCAGGTTCCTACCTTATGCACAAAGATTGGAGCCGATTCACTCCATGATCGAAAGGATTGAGAGGTATTGGTAATCTATTTTTATCTTACAAGAAGTTGAATCACTTGCAAGAAGGTTTCTATAGACTAGTTATACTGACCCTACATGTAAAGTCTCTATGGCATGGTCTGATGTATGTTAACCTAAATCTTCTGGGGGCTTGGGAATTAAGAACCTTGATATGATGAATAAGTCTTTGATGCTCAAGCATTTTTGGGGCATAGAAAGAAAGTCTGATTCACTTTGGATGAAGTGGGTTTATGAGGTATATTTGAAGGGCTAGTCTGTTTGGGATGTTTCTGTTACTTCTTCTTTCTCGTGGTGCATCAAGAAAATCTTGAAGTTGAAAGCAGTAGCATCTAATTGTGTAACGAGGATAAATGGTGCAACGGTTTTTGGATAGCTCCTGGGGAACCATATTCATCACAAGCGAGCTACAATGAAATGGTATCTCCAACTCCTGTCCAATGGTGGTGCCGTATACTATGGACCAGGTTAACCCCTCCTAAATATTCTTTCATCTCATGGTTGAGCTTCCTAGATAGACTTGTACTAAAAACTAAGGTAGCTAAATGGAATTCGTCAATTGATACCTTATGTATGTTCTGCCACTAACATGATGAAACTGTAAAACATCTCTTCTTTGAATGTTGGTTCTCATCTCGAGTATGGCTTGGAGTTTGTGATTTTAATGAATGGAACCTCCAAAACTCATGGGATCATCTTGTTAATCGGCATTTCTACATGTGTAAGAATGATACTATAGGAGTAGCTATGAAAGTCTCATGGTGTGCATTTATCTATTTATTATGGAGAGCTAGAAAATGTTCATTTTTCAGAAAGAGCTAGTAATTGAGTCGAAGGTAATATAACAGGTTCTGTTTTACCTAGAGATTAGATATGTAACGACCCGGCTAATCCACATGCTTGCTTCTCCACGTCATGCTTCGCAATCAGCTGAGTCATCCGTCGAGCTCTCATCCAAGGCGCAATACAATTGATTCTCCACTCCAATTTGCCAACCCGATCCGATGATGGATTGGCCAAGTCATTTACCTAGTAGCATTCTTCGACCTTTCATCTAAACCTGGGAGGGGATAGGGGGATAGTATATATGGATATAAAGGGGTGAACGCCGAACTCAATGAGGTCCTCACATTATTACTATGATACTTTTAGTAAAATAACTTTGAGAATTCATACGATAGTAAAATCTTTTTATCAAAATGTTTGTCACGCAACAAATCAATCAAAATCACTGTAATCACTTAACAATAGGGGTGGATACAGGAAAATCTAGCAAGGCACGCCAAGGATCTATGTGACACAAGGACGTTATTCCAAACTAGATTTTAACGATCAATCAATATTTCGTTGGAAGGAGCGACCTTACCGACTAACAATAACAATTCACAATTCAAGCTTTCATCTTACTCCTATCGTGACTGGGGGTACTCCGTCGAGTTTCCCCTACAATGCGGTCAGTGACGGCAAAGACTGGTGACCAAGCCCGATGCCGGCTCACGTTCCTTGCACATCCAATGCCTGGGCCCGTGCTCCAGGGCAACTGAGATCACCCGAGCTCGTGTACACATTAACGATTGCATGTACAAACAATACACTTTTCCGAGGCGATAAAGTACACCACCGAATACAATATATTTAACGATAACAATCGAAACTCTGTCGAGATAATGCCACCATCAAGAATATTTTCGTTCAAATATTTCATTTTAGCACAATACGTTCCACAGTTACAGTTAATCTATAACCAGTCAATTCCAACACATAATCTTTTACTAATAGTGTTGACATTATAAATAAACTCTTTGCCTATAAATATTTCAAATTGATACAATTTAGATCCAATTTATAGCACCATACCACTTGTCTTCTTTTAACATTGTCATTTTATTTTATTTAATTAACTCTCAAAACACGTTAAAATAATAGTATCATTACAAGATATGTATCTATCAAGAGAGATCCCAATTCTCCAAAAATTATAGTTTTATGTAATAGGTTACATCACAGTCCAATGGTTGTAAACAAAAGGCGCCAGAGTTGATCTCTGCCTAACATAAGTCTTGCTGCTTAATAGATTTTTTGGGCATAGAGAAAAGTTTTGTACGATAAACTCTTTACACTGGTCTTACAAAAAAAAAACCATGTAATACAAGCCTAAATTAAGAAAAAGAAAAATATGAGTGCCTGAAAATTTATCTAACAGTTAAGCTGCATCGTGGAGAGGAAACTTCAAAGCCTGAATTAGAAGATGTACGTTAGGTTGTAACTGCATTCAAGTTACATTAACACGGGTAGAAAATTTTCTGTTAGAGAGAGAGTTTAAAAGATACGACACAGATAGAAATACTTAGAAAGATCATTATGAAAAATTAAGAGAATACTTTTAATAAAAAAATAAAGTCGTAAATCAACAAAAAGAAGAAACGACAAAAGATAAACAGTAAGTTACATTGGATGTTTCCGAATATTGAAAATTATTCGAAATGTACTAAAATTAACAAAACACTTTAACGTCAAAAATTAAACAATTGTAATTTATGTCATTAATATTAATATCACTCTATAGGAAATGTCATATAATCCTTCAATCATTAAACTTATACATATCTTGAACAACTCGCACAACGTGTAGGGTAGACACTAGTTAAAACTAAATTTAATTTAAATTTATGCTTTATAATTAACACTAGAGAGAGTATAAATTTACATGTTGGTTTCCACGGAAAAAAAAAAGAAAAAGAAAAAGGAAAAACATATCCCTCCAATGATAACAATTAGATCCACTACCAATCTGGAAAAAAAACAACAAAAAACTAAGAAACTGAAAATGACTTAAAAGCATACATTTGGTTTCTACTTGACTCCCTTTCGATGCCTATTTTTGTTTTCCTAAAAGCAAACTAACTTTGGTTTCTTATCGATTTTGTTACGCATAGAAAGATTCATGTTCATCTTTTGAATCAAAATCATAAATTTAATCTTATACTTATTGTTTTATTCTCCATCATCTGGAATAAATTTAGTCTTTTGTGCTAGTTGGAAGGGTTTAGTAATAGAAGTTGTGATAAAAAAAAAATTAAAAAAAAACACACTAAATTTACAGTAATTGTTATTATTTTTGTACGAGTTGACGAAAAGAAAATACGGCAATCGTTTCACAAAATTTTTTACTTAATTACCATTAATAATTTTTTTTGGCATAATCCCTAACGCTTAAAACATCAAAATACAATAAACCAATAGATCAAACAGACACAATAATCTATCAAAACTAATACATCTAAGGAAATCAAGAAACCTACTGCAAAATTGGACCCTGGCCCGACATGTTTTGACTGCTGCAAAATTTTTCACTTATTCTGATCAAGTTGATACATCTACAAATTTTATTGAACTCTCTAGCAATTTTATAACTGTTCGGGTACCACCATAACTAGCTTTAAAGTTTAAACAAAGCACCCATGTCGATGAGATTTCTTTTCCTCCATTTTCGGTCCACTGTAAAGCTAAGAGATAGTGGAACTCCCTTGGTAAACAAGAAAGTAAATGATCAATTTAAATGCTCCACAATCTGCTTAAGCTAAAAAATAAATCAATAAAAAAATAAAATTGGTTTGAAAAGGTCATCAGCGACTATCCCAACCTATCCATCAAAACAAAATTGATCAGAAGAGTTTATTGTTGTACACCAAGTTCAAAATGCTATCCCGAATTTAATTCAACGCGCAAAGAGAAAGATGCATATTGTTTTTGACTAAACTGTATAAATGGTCCCTACATTTGTCCAAATTTAAATTTTGGTCCCCTATATCAACATATATATGGATTGAGCCTTTACATTTCATTTTGAAACTTTTTTTGTCTCTTTTCACTGTTCCGTCACCATTTCCGTCTTGATGACCGTTGACCCTACCAAGTCAGGGGTATTTTCAGAATGACACATATAAGATCAAAATAACAAATGTTTTTATAATAAAATAGAATAAAATATTAAAAATTATTATTTTATAACAAAAAATTAAATAATGTAAAAATAAAAAAAATTAAAATGATTTCAAATTTCAAATTTCAATTTTTTTTTCACTTCCCACCTTTGTGGGTAGCACATGCCAGTCAATTTCTCCCTTTTTTTTTGCTACAGTAAAAAAAAATCAAAATTAAAAAGCAAACTTACCTTCACCCGTCTTTTACCCTTATCCTTAAAAATTTTATTCTCATAATCCGAAATGCCATTTATTAATTTTATTCTTACCAAGTCACTGCTGATAAAGGTAAAAGACAGGTAAAGGTAAGTTTATTTTTTAATTTTGATTTTTTTTTACTGTAGCAAAAAAAGAGGGAAAATTGACTAGCATATGGGACCCACAAAGGTGGAAAGTGAAAAAAAATTTGAAATTTGAAATTTGAAATTATTTTAATTTTTTATTTTTATTTTTAAATTATTTAATTTTTTATTATAAAATAATAATTTTTAATATTTTATTCTATTTTATTATAAAAATATTTGTTATTTTGATCTTATATGTGTCATTCCAAAAATACTCCTGACTTGGTAGGGTCAACCATCAAAACGGAAATGGTGACGGAACAGTGAAAAGAGACTAAAAATATTTCAAAATGAAATATAAAGGCTCAATCCATATACATGTTAACGTAGGAGACCAATATTTAAATTTGAATAAATGTAGGGGACCATTTATACAATTTAGTCTTCTTTCATAAAAACAAGGGTGCAATTTTACAAATTGCTTGAAGTCTGAACTTAAAACAGTTTAAACAAACACCAGAGAGGGGCTTAGAGTGAAGATTTCACTAAGAAATCAAACTCAATTCCACCATATTTCCACATACAAACCAGAACTAACACAATTTACAAAATGCTCCGACCAAAAGCTGACACTGTCAATACATTGCATCCTCCTAGAGCCTAAAAATGAATGATCTATTCACTTCTGAGTTTGAACGGCAAGGGAAATGCATCTACATAACCGTAATATCCTCAGGTACCCAGCCCTAAGACTCTTGACAGCATGTTGTATTTCATGTATGATAGGTTCAGCCAATACAGTATTTCCCGCAGAAGAAACTGTTACCTGGGATGGTAACATCTCGAATGGATATATTCCTCTATAAGAAATCAGAAGCAAAGTCAGTTAACTGAACATGGAAAACGGGGAATGGATAAACTTACATTGCAAAAGAAAAAGACTTAACATTTTTATCATGTTAAAATAAGGCCAATTGCTTTAGTACGATATCAACATCTGAACAGAAGAATGTCGACGGTTTTGCTTTGTGACTTTGCTCATGTATCTTTATATTGAGTCAAAGAAGAAAATTATGATGCCAAAAAGTGACAATTGCAAGGAAGAGTTCTAACAGCATACCGATTTAGACATGCCATGTCAAAAATCAACAACACTTTCTTTCCATGCCTGAAAGAAAAGAAGCTAAGATACAAATTCAGCTGCCCAACTGCAGATTAAAACCATTGTTAGTCCTCGACAAGTGTTCGCTACAGTCATGAACAAGTTCGTTCAATTCTGACTAAACTGCGGACGGTATATTTAATCAATTTTTTAATATTCAAAAAATAGAGCAAATGATGCAAGGTAGTCCAGCCACTAGCAAAGAAAACAAAAGTAACCCCTCAACAAAATTCTTTTCCTTTCAAAGAAACAAAAGTGGGACATAAAAATCTTACAGAGCAGCAAAAGTTTCATAATGTTGGCAGAATTCAATAAATTTGAAGAAATCCCAAAAGAACATAGTTGAAAGTGTCGACTAACATCTTTCTTCCAGAGGCAAACATAGAGGGATTCACTATAAGTAAAACCCAGGATAAATTCCTTTTATTTGCAAGATCTGAGGAAGTGCAATGTATTGTTAAACTCTACAGCGGTCAGTAGATGATTCCATTCCAATCCACATAATCATAAAAAAAAATTTAATATCCAGGAGAGAAACATCATTGGTAGCGACAGGAAGTGCTCAGAAAAACATCTCTACAAATTCAAAAAACTTGTATCACAAACCTTCCACTTTGTTCAGAATGGACTCAATTATTGTGGTGAACCTATAAACTGACATGGGTAGAGGCAGTATTTCCACGGGATATCGCAGATTTGACAAAACAGCAAAATAACCCTTCTCCCCTCCCCCCCCCCCCCCACACACACACACAACCATTAAAGCCACCAATATGCATAGATTAGCCATCATAAAGTGTCTGGAGCAAGTTTCTGCTGCAAAACTGATAGCCTTCTTCTTTAAAAAAGAAAACAAAAAAAAAAAAAGCCAGATCGTTAGAAACCATAATCAGTGAGCAGGGTGACGTTGGAAGGTAGCCGAAAGCCACTTTTTGAAAGAACTTATCCAAATCTCCTTTTGGAGTGATCAACTGGTGGTAAGACATATTAATGTAACTATTTATTTAATTTAGTTTAGCAAAACAACCATAATGGTCTGATTATAAACCACACATTAATTACAGTGATGGTGGTGGCAGCCCCAGCAAAGGACCAGAAACATGGCTCTCCATTTTGGCTTGACTCATAAAATTTTCTAGTTTCTGGGCAAAATGCCTTTTTGATAAAGTAGATGACTAGACCAATGGAAGTGTAATCATGATGACAAAAGCACAACCAAAAGCACTTATCCTTGAAGCAATATGACAAAACAGGACCATAACATCACAACATGCCATAACTGCAACCCATCAAGTTTTTACAAGACAAGACGGAAAAAAAAAAAAAAAAAAAATGTGAGAGCACACCAGGAAGGGGTCCTAATTTTTGAGACTTCTGCCAATTTTCTTTACATTGTAAAATCCAACAAAAGTTACATAGTGCATAACTCAATTCAAGGAAATTTGTAAAATCAACCAGACACAAGGTTAATAATAAAAGTCATACAGCAATCTTGGTCAACTTTTGGCGTATTCACATATTAGTAGGTGAAAAATTAAACACGCTGTTCATGGAGAAAACAGCTAATTCAAATCTCAAATGGACGGGAGTCAAACCACAAGAACCAATAAGCTTCACACCAATGTCCACAAGTAAAACTTATAGCGATCATAAACTGGTATATACCTTTAGGGCAATGGAAGTTTGCCCGAGTCAAATTACGGAGCTCAATCTGAGCCAACTGAAGTTCTCGAACCACATCTACCAAATTGCCGAGAAATGAACTTGCGACCTACAAAAGTGCAGAACGGAGGCAGCATTACATATTCAGCCTGCAGTTACAGAGTAAATTTAAAAGCATAAACATACAATCTGAAATTCAAGTATCTTATTTGATCTTGTATTACTTCAAATCAAAAGGAAAAGTATTGAAACAAAAACCAGGATCATGATAACACTGCTTGACATGACAACATGTTAACATAGCCAAGAAGTTATTTTTTTTACGTTTAAAATTAAATCTGTTTATTTGAAAACCAATTGTTCTAAACATTACCAATGTTCAAATTGAGAAGATTTTGATTAAAACAAACAATGTTAAGGAATTGACAGAATAATAAGTTTCCTAAATTCTTTGAAAACAATCGTGGCTAGCCCCAAAAAGCGGGATAAAGGCTCCTTGTCATTGTTGTATTCTTTGAAACAGTTAGCATGCGAGGTCAGAGTCTCAGAGACAGGAGAGGGAATAATCTACTTACTTGTGTTTCCCTTGCAAGACTTTGTGAACCCAAATACTTCTGAGTGGTTTCAGCATTTAGAACAGATGAAAATGCTTCGCAAGCGTCCATATTCGGGAAGCTCTACGGTGCCCATAAGAAAAAAGTATTTAACTTAGATGAATTTCACATATACTAAGCAGAAATCTGCTGCAAGAAATGGGTTACCTTGATGATGTTCACATCATCCATTTTATTGCTGATGACAAAGCTTGATGCAGGGCAACCAGCAAACTTGAAACTGTTGTCATAAAATTTATAGATTCCCAGATAAGTTCATCAATCTGGAGTAATCAAGCGTAAATTTTTATTTTTTTTTAATTAAGCTTTCTTCTAGCTATTCCCAACCTTTGAATGACGAATCCGAGGTAGTTGACAAAAATTTCGTGATTGTCATTGTTGTTCCTCACTTTTTCAATACCCCATATCTGGTCAATAAAGAGAGGGTGCATCATTTCAATAGGTTATTGGAAATGTAGAATTACCACGCTCAAGAAAAAGTACAAACCTGCATGCCCAGACGAATAAACCTGTGACATGATTTCTTCATCAAATTATCATTAGCTAACAGAACACAGTCAGAATGACTTTGTTCTTCCTTAAGTTTGCAATAACTACGAAGTGCCTTAACAAGGTTGGCTTTCTTCTTGTTCAATGATTCTAAGCTTTGCTTCAGTGCTGCAACCTTTTCATTCGTATCCTGGCATTTGAGAAATTAACTGAATCAAGAAACAAGATAATATTGGACTAATAATTACTCCAAGAGGTTATTTCGGTTGTGCCATAGCAAAATGTGCAATGAGTAAAACCACTACAAAAACTATGGAGCAACCAATAAAAAAGTGGCATTCCAACTATTATTAACTAAAATAAAGTTGAGTCATGCTTCCCTGGAGGAACAAAGAATAAAGCAAGGCAGAGAACTAAGTCTACAGAGGAGACAAAACTAGAAATAAAAAATTGAAAACTAAATTGTTGGTTACAGACGCTGAAGTGGAAGTATAAGGATAAGAACAACATCACTATTTGGTAGTCCTTGAGGATCAAGGGAAATTACCAACATGCAAAATAGGCTATGTAACCTTCATCTAAATTAGTAAACCCAAACTAAAGATAAAACAAAAATGTTTATCCTATACAATTGGGGAGCAAAGAACACAGAATTAGTTGTACCTTCTATTGCCAATGGCATTTAAAGCACAAACAATATCCACAACAAAACACAGATGTACAGTCGATAAGTAAGAAAGAACAATTCCAGATGCAACAGAAACATAAATCTTCAAAAGTAAAAACGACCATAAGAGAATGTGTCCCTTAGCACTCAAATATTCCATCCAGTGACCGCACAAATAAAGTAACAGATTGGGTTAAAAGAGAATGTTGCACTCTCAACTTAATTAGAATAATACCTCAGCACTATGCTTCATCATGCTGATGAAATTCAAAAGGCCACGGGCACCAGCTGGACTAGCTCCGACAAACTTAGGCAAGATATTCATCTTCAACATTTGCATGTCCTGAACTCCAGAGCTTATTTGTTGTAACTTTTCCTGTTTATAAAATCAACTGTCTAAGAAAACTATCATTCAAAAATCCATCAAGAAATGAAAAGGCCATACGTACCAATAACAATTTCTTCTTAGAGAAGATCAGTTGTAACTTTGACTTTTCATGAATGAATTGATGCAACAGCAACCTTATTTCACCTACTCTAAACATTGTTTGTTTCGAAACAAACATCAAACAAAGTAAAGATCATAAGAACTTTCACAAACATATATGAACATGAGCAGTCTTCTTAATTAACAGAAAGAGATGGAGAAACATACCTTTCAGATCGGAGGTCATTTGAGATTGATGTTTTCTGAAAAGAAGATTTATGCAATAAGTATGTAAGAGAAGAGAAACAAGGCTTTTGGAAAAATCCAACCCCAAAAAAAGGAGAGAAAAAGGGATTTTGCTTCCAGCAGCCATGCTGATATGCATATTGCCTTCCTATTGCAAATTAAAAACTATTATCATAAACAACCTAACCTGATGAAAAATTTCACTGCACAACATCCCATATGTTTTTGCCTTCTTCAAGTTATGCAACACATCTTCAAATGAATCAATCTACAGTGCGCCAGACAGAACATTAACATATAAGCAAAAGACATGCAAAGTTGAAAGCAGCCAAGAGATACAGCTCTCAACATGGAAATTACAAACTATAATGTAACCAGTTAAGTCTATCGATTTGTAGGTTAAGGTAGCTTAGTACCAGTGAGAGTTTAAGCCTATCAACAGAAGACGGAGGCAATCTTTCCCCATCTTCTGAAAATTTAAAATATATCTGCAATGAGGAAAAAAAACAAAGAAAACGTCAATTTCCTTTCTTCTTATCAAATGGATGTGGGGGTGAAGGCCAAAAAGATGGCATTACCACCAGAAAGCTTACATACATCTGTCCATTTCTTTGACCCCAGAGCTATCATGTTTGTTTCTCTGCAATCTTCATTAAAGCCTCCAAGCATTTGGCTATCCAGTACAACAACTTTCCGAAGCTTGGGACTCCTCTGCTGGACAGAAACAACACTATGATGTTCACTGTCATCAAAGTCAAGTATCTCACTTCTTTTCCGAGGAGATTTCAATGCATTGAAAGTTGGAGCAGAATAATCTACTACGTGATGCGGATCCATATGTTTCTTGCCAGTTAAAGGGAACTCTTTCTTTGATGCACTTGGGAATGTCTCCACTGCTTTCTGTGCATAATAGTATACATGAGATCAGTAAAGGGGAAACATTTTCATCTCTATTCTTTCTTCTATTTGGTGTTTTGGCAGGAGGAGGCTATTAACTATACTGCTAATTTAACTGCAATGTATAAGTAAATCCTACGTGGTACAGTGGGCATAATCCATCCAAAACCCACTCTACGAAATGAATGACAAACTAGAAAGAAACTCTAATCCTAAGACTGTTGCAGCCAGAAAAGTCGCAATTTCAATCCACAAGTATACGATAAGAAAAGTAGCAGCACATAAGCCTTGCCCCAGAAACTGCAATAAGATGTGGAGAGTTGTAATATTAAATAAAAGCAGCCTTTTAAGATTTTTAGCAAAGATGCATTCATCTAAGGTTATTAACTTAAGCAAAGTAGTATGTCAGAGAGTTGAGGAATTCAAACTATAAAATACCGCACCCTAATACATACAAAACCAATACTTCAAGCATCAAAAAATTTGGGTAGAGATAAAAAAGAGAAGGAGAATGAAAACCTGACCTGAGGAAACGTTAGTTCCTTAATACTCTCTGTAAAAGGTACTGCACCACCAGAAGGGGCAGATTGAGGTTCTTCCCGAAGAAGGTTGCTTGTAGACTCAGGAAGAACAATGCAAGGATGCAGACTTGCGTCCAAGTCCCCGCTATTTGTAAGCTGTGAAATGTTCTCTCTCATGTGAGTTTCATGGTTTTCTATCAATTGCGAAACATTTTGGTTATCAAAAGTACTCATGTCTCTGTTATCCTTTAGATTAACAACAGGTGACCCAAAATGCAGTCTTGTCCTCACAGGAAATGACTCCAATCTGTCTAAAGGTTCAGTAGAAAGGTTTACGCTAGAACCATTTTCCTTTAGACCAGAACTTTCGAGATTGGCAAATTGATCAGGTAGAACTAAATCGTTCAAGTTTTGATGTTCGCGGTAAACAGTTAATTTCTTTTGTGATTCTGGAGAAGTTACAAGCTGTCCCAGTGTTCCACTTGATCCTTTTCTTCCACTGAATGGGGAGGATGAGACACCAGCTGCATTGGATTCTTCAGTCCGACGTATATTTTCCCTGTCCACTTCATCCAGAACATTGCTGTTGTCAGCAGGGGCCTCACTTATTTGTGCACCTTTCTTTGCAGAAGCAAACAAAAGTTGGCTCTCAACACTTCTAAAAGATGCATCAATATGTTTTGGCAGGAAATTCTTCATCTCTCTCTCCAATTGGATTTTAAAGGGAGAAGGTTTTGAAATTTGTGATTTAATATTTAGATCCTTAAATCTGGAATCGATAGAGGCTGAAAAAGGAGAAGCTTCAAGCAAATTCAGCTTTGAAATGCTTTTTTGTATTGATGATGTACTCCGACAGTAGTCAACTTCTTTGCATAAAGAAGAATCTCCTTGTTGAGGGGTCAGAAAAGACATATTGACAGGCAATGCACTACTTGCAGGTATTTTTCTTTGTCTGGAAGGTGAGGATATGAACTCAGCCGATGGAGATTCATGTGGAATATCTCCATGACCATTGGCGTCACCTGGCTGTCCTTGCAAAGAATCAACTGCTTTTTTGTTGTTGCCAATAAGATCTACCAAATCAACCAAATTTTCTTGAGGGGCAAAAGGCATATCACCAGAGTTGTTGGGGTCCTCTGAAGCAACACTCAAATTCTCTCTTAGGGGAAAAGATGCATTACCCAAGTTTCTGGGTGAGTCTAAAGCTGCACTATTGCGAGAATCAGACATCATAATTTTTGTACCTTCAGCTAAAAGTGCATCCAACTCAGGAGAAAGTTTGCCGTAGTCATACTTTGAAGGGCTCTCCCCAACAAGGCTCATGTCACTTGTATTGCTATTAGCAGATCTCTTACCAGCAGGAGAGGAAGTTGTGGATAATAGTTTTCTTGAGACAGTAAGTTCCATGGTATTTCCAACAGTGGTTTGAGTTGATGGTTTATCCTCGAATGAAAGATGTAATCCAGTAGGAGTCTTCAATTCAACTCCAGACTCTGACCGTGCGATGCTACGAAAATGCATGGAGAAAGCAGTTGAGTCCATGGTAACATCACAATTGTCATCAGAAGCTTCTGAGTCCGATAAACAACCACGCCTTATAAAACTGGCAGAAACAGGGCCAAAAAAATCCTCTGCAATCAGAACCGTGTACAGAAAACTAATTATTTCAGCGTTACAAATGAAGACATAATCTACTAAATAGACACAATAAAAGACCATAGTCAACAGTGCTGGAAAAGTGAGATGTGAAGCTTCCGAATGAGTTTGCTTTTCCAAAATTAGGGATGCATGAGGATTTTTGTTTCTGCAAGTGATGCATCTTCTGTCATCAATTGATTGTTTGATTTTCCATTATGATGTTATTAGAGAATGCATGCCCTGCTTCCACATCAAAGCCCTACGGATATAAAGGCCTCAAGTGCACAAGCACATTTCCAATGCTTGGAAACGCAGCAAATTGTCTTCTGATTGAACATACGATGTGCAAAGAGAAAGGAATGTTTCAAAAGCTAAACATTCTCAAGAGAACATGAGGGGAACGATTCAAAGTCAACATAATCAAGGTGAAGAACTCTAAAAAGGATATATTCAAATTTCGAAACTTCATATACATATGGCTGCTAGGAACTGCACCAACATCTTTTCGAAGTTTTTATTTTTTAAAACGTGATTGAGCCTAAAAGATTGTTCTTGATCCAACTTTTCCTCCTAAGGCTATCAGGACTAAGAAACTACACCCATTGAATTAAAATTAAACATTCAGAGCAGACGGCAGCCTACGAGAGTTATTCAATTTTGTGATAACTTTACTGACTGAAGAAACATATGCTTACTCATCACACCAATCCTTTCATTGCATTCTTCTTTTTCCTGTCAACTACAACATCTTGAACTCAGGCCAACTGCAATGTCCCCCGCAACCTGGCCATCCCCTTAAATCCTAATCACCATGATCCTCAACATGCCTTCGCAATATGTAGTGTATATGAATGTAACACATATAACTGAATGATAACTTGGGTGCGGGAAAAGAAAAAAGAAAACAAAACAAAAGCACACACACCTCATCATCAAGACTAATATCCACCATACCAACCTATTCCTCCAACAAAATTCAAGAAAGCAAAAAAATAATAATAATAATAATAAAAAAATAAAAAAAAATTAACAGCTAAAACAACAGAATTCAGTGCAAATGTGGAAGAAAAAGGGAAAGAGGAAGAAGGTGCTTGCCATCATTTGAAGTAGCAGAACCAAAACCACTCCCTGAAGAAGGAGATTCCATCAGTTTCAAAAACGGCCTTTGCATTGCAGCCTGCTCTTCATCATCTTCTTCACTCTCAATAGCTTCTCCTTCTTCGTCTTCGCCCTTTGAATCCATCATCTGAAGAAACCCTAGGATTTCTTCTTTCTCCACATCACCATTTCCACCTTTCCCTGCCGATTGCAGCTGCTCCTTAGGCGTGTCGTTATCCTCCTCATCCCGGTCAAAGAAATGCACTGATGTCATCTCAGCGAAGCTCACTCTCCTCAACCTTTTCTTCTGCGCAGCCATGGTGGTTCCACCGCCACCTGAGTTCCCTTCAGTGGCTTCACCTTCTCCACCGTCCACTGTGTCGGAGACGGGGCCGGCTTTTTCGCCGGATTCACCAGACATTTCTTAATTGAAGCTAAATCCTTCAAATATTATCTGGATTTTCTTAGGGTTTTTAAGTGAGATGAAATGGGGATGGTGGGGAAAGCAAGAGAGGAAGCAGAGAGTTTGTGCGGGAAATATTTGGCCTGAAATTATTTTAAAAGGAATGTCATAATATTTTGAATTTTGACCCCCGACATAATTTATTTCTCTTTTTGACCTTAAGAGAAAGGAAAATTAATGTACTGGTAACGGTCATTTTTAGGGTCTTTTCCCTAAAAAAATTCCTTAAAAAAAATAGACAAAATTATTTTCTTCGAAATTTATGAGGACAAAACTATGTGTGTCGGATTTTCACATTCCGAATGAGTATTAAAATTAGTGAATCGGATTTTCAAAATCCGAGTCCTTTTTAATATTAAAATATTTGATTTTTACTTATCAAAAATTAGAAAAGTGCCGAAAATAGAGCAACAAGATTCAGATTTTCACAATCCGACTACAAAGTATTAAAATAAGTGGTTTGAAAAATTGTGGCGCCAAAATTTTGAATGTCATTCAGATTTTCAAAATTCGATGTTAATTAATTTTGGTTGGTAGAAGTAGATATGTGTCTTAAATTGGAGGGCTAACAAACGAAAAAAAAAAAATCTGAAATTGACGACATTCATATGTCGAAAATCCAAAGCTCCTTAGATTCAGATTTCTAAAATCCGATATACTTACTCATTCGGATTTACAAAATCCGAGATTTACGTGATATAAAAGAAAAAAAACAGACAGTTCTCAATCGAGAACTGGTTGTTTTTTTCTGATTCTGCTGGTCTTGGGTGGCGATTTGGAGTTCTTGATGCAATCTTACCGCTAAGTACTTTAGGAATCGTTATTTGAAAGAGGTTAGTGAGGTAAACCATGTTATTTAGTTTATTATTGTGTTATTTTGATTGTTAAAATGAAGTAAGATGGTTTAGGATTTGTTTATTAGTTGTTTGGATGTTTGAATGATGCATGTATGTTGTAGGTGTTGATTTTGAGGTTAGAGGTTAGAAATCATTGTTGTTCATTATATTTCATGAAATATGAAAATTGATTTCTAGTATTTTAGTATTTTATAGATTTTTTGAATATAGAATGGAGTACGTATGGTATTTTTATTGATTTTGTTATTATAGGTGATAGTTTACTTCAATGATACTATTTTATTGTGTACGGAGTACAATTTTAGTTGTGTAATATAAACTTTGATAATGTAACTGAGTATAGGCGAATTAATTATAGAAAGATACAAGTATTTGTTTAAGAATTTAGTAGATATTGATGTTCTTTTTTAAGAGTGAACCTCAAAACAGGTCATTGAACTATTAGATAATTCTAATACAGGTCATTAATCAAATTTATTTGTATAACTGGCCACCCTACTAATCAAAAAATTCACCCGAGATCATTCTGTTAATTTTGACCGTTAAATAGTGACGGAATCCATTTTTCACATGCTTTTGGATTTAGGGGTATTTTTGTTATTTTTTTATTTTTAATCTTTTAAAAAAAATTAAAATTTTTTTTTTTGCAATTCTTCTTCTTATATTTCCTAACTTGTATATATTAGTAATATAATTTCTAAATTTTAAAATTTAATTTAACTTTTGTATTTTATCTTCTAGATTATAAAATTTTAAAAAACTTTAAGAATTGAAGAAGAAAAATTCGAGTTAAAGTAAACATGAAAATTAATAGTTTACCATTTTAAACTAAAAGAAAAACTAAAAGAATTAGTTAAGCCAAGTTGTTTCTTCTAGGTTATCTAATTTTTTTCAACTCGATTGAATTATTTAATCATTAATTTTCATGTTTACTTTAACTCGAATTTTTCTTCTTCATTTCTTAAATTTTTTTAAAAATTTTATAATCTAGAAGTTAAAATAAAATATTTAAATTAATTTTTGAAATTTAAAAATCATACTACCAGTATATACAAGTTAGGAAGTATAAGAAGAAGAATTGTAGAAAAAAATAAAAATAAAAAAATAAAAGATTAAAAATTAAAAATAATAAAATGACAAAAATACCCCTGAACCCAAAAGCATGTGAAAAATAAATTTCCGTCACTATTTAACGGTCAAAATTAACAGAATGATCTCGGATAAATTTTTTCCTTAGTAGGGTGACTTGTTATACAAATAAATTTGATTGATGTCCTATATTAGAATTACCTAAAGTTCAATGACCCGTTTTGAGGTTCACTCTTTTTTTAAACAGTTATCAATGGCATGTAATGTATCATACATGCTTAATTTGTTTGATACAAGCAAGTATGTGATAGACAATGGTATCATCAACACTTTTTCGAATATGCCGGATGATGGTTTGTTTGTTGAGAAAAGGTTGTCATATGTTGAGTTGATTAGTAAAATTTGTATGACACTTGGTTAGGATCCAGCACATGTGAAACTCCACCTTTCTGTAATTTTTGATAATCGCGGGTAGGCGTGTAGTGAAGATCAAGAATGATTCGCATGTAGAGTTCATGAACCGTGTAGCTCCAATGCCATGTTTGGATTTATACATAAATTTGGAAGATATCACACTCACGAAGAAAGAGAAGCGAGTTTGGAAAACAACATGTTATTTGGTGGTTTTCCAAGGGGGGAGCGTGCTAGTACTTCTCAAAACCGTGATGAAGATGAGACACCTTTATTTGCATAAGATGACTCATGGAAGAGTCGGATCCCGACTACATAGCTCCAAGTGAAAGCGAAGAAGACCGTGAGTTCTCTGCAGATAGTGATGTAGAGGAAAGTGATGATGAATTATTGGAAAATGAGGAAAGGGATCTTAATCCATTGCCCCGATGCCATGTACATAGCAAGATTGGGAAATGGGATGCCTCGTGTGTGGACAAGGATGAGTCTGCTCTTAAGATGTGGGATGAGACCCCCGAAGAAATAGACATTGGCGTTTGTTTCAAATCCCAATCAGAAACAAAACATGCTGTGAAATTATGGAACATCCATCATAAAAGAGAATATAGGGTTGTCGCGAGTAGTCCAACAACGTGGGCTGTGTGGTGCAGAACATTAGATGTACCAAGTGAGGATGGTGATCCATCATGTGTGTGGAAGATGCGTGAGTCTTTGAAAGATCACGACCTTCATCAAATTGTGAGATAGCATGATGCACATAATTGGACGCGTCTTTGATTGCTAGACTCATCAGGAGAAAGGTTGAGGACAACATAGATTATACGGTGGCCTCGGCACAAAAAAATGTGAAGACCTTATTGAAAGTAGATGTGTTATACAAAAGGGCATGGCATGGGAGGAGGAAAGCCATAGAAGCGGTCTATGGTGATTGGACCTCGAATTTCAAAGAACTTCCTAGCTAAATATCAACTTTTATAATTGTTATGTGCATTATTTTTTTTTTTTGGGTTTCATGTATTGAAATGTTTTATCTATGACTCGCTTGTTGTGTAGGTATATCGCTGCGCTTAAGTTTACTAATCCTGAGACTGTAGTACAGTGGGAATGGAAGAAGGGAAGAAGATTGGAACAAGGGAAATAGGACATTTAAATACGTCTTCTGGTCATTTGCACCAGTGCCTGCGACGTTTCTTGAATGTCCACCAGTCGTTTGTATCGATGGAACACACTTGCATGGTGGTTACAAGGGTAAATTGCTTGTTGTGGTGGTCTATACTACAAACAAGCACATTTTACCGGTTGCATTTGAGATTGTGGATGATGAGACAGTAGAGAGTTGGACCTTTTTTTATGAGGAATTTGAGGTTGTGGGTTGTGCAGGATAGAATCGTAAGTGTGATATCCGACCGGAATGCAGGGTTGTTGAGCGCAATGTCACAGATGGATGAATGGTATGATTTAGGGGATGGACACTACTTTATTGCCTCCGCCACGTTCGTAGCAATCTTGTGTAGCGACATAAGAGCAGAAAGGTGAAGGGGTTATGTTGGAAGATGGGCACGATGCTTTCAAGACAAAAATACAACTGTATGAGGGCAGAGCTTATTGAATTCAAACCTGCGACAGTATCTTCGAGGGATTGGAGGGAGTAACTGGGCTCGATTGAAAGCGGTCCGTCGCTGTTGGGTACGCTACACGGCTAAGTGGCAGGGGTGGGTCTTTGTATATGATGAACTACGATGAATATAAGTGTTCGTGCAGGAAGTGGCAAGAATATCGTATGCCTTCTACGCACCCACTCGCAATTTGCCAGAAAAAAAGGGGATCGACCTCTTGATCTATACCATGGGTTGTGGCGCCTTCCAGCATGGCGCAGACAATTTGATTACACGGGTTTTGTTCCAGTTTTCGATGAGCAACAATAGCCAACGGTCGATTGAAATTTCATTCCGAATTATAAGCGTCTTGTTTTGAATACAGGGCCGGGACAAAAAAAAAAAAAAAAGAGACATAGAATGCAAATAGATTACAGGGGACGCCAGAGCCAGGGAGAATGTTGGAGATGCAGACAACAAGGTCACGATGCCAATGCTTGTCCTTACTCGCACCCAGGAGTAGATAGAAGGCCTTGAATGACAGTTGGAATTGAAAGACATTTACTTTTCTGGTTGCACTTTGGAAAACCATGTTATTTGGAATTACAACTGTTTAATTAGATGTTCTATAACTTTTTGTATTGATAAATGGATTATAGATGTTCTATAAATTCGGATTGTACTATTAACATTGAATTGTTGGTGCTGTGATTGTGCTGAAAATAGATAGTAGTTGTTGATAGAGGTTTTGGGATTGTGCAGAAACAAAATTGTGTATTTTTTGTTTTTGTAGTTGTCTCGGATTTTGAAAATCCGTACTACTGCATTTTGTACTAAACTCGGATTACGGAAATCCGAATTTAACCCGGATTCCTACAACACATAAGTCGGATTTATGTAATCTGTATTTACCCATTTTGTACTATCTACGGATTTTAAAAATCTGATTCCGCAAAATCCATCCAAGAGTGTGCAAATTTTGCGGAAGCAGGGGAGATTCGGATTCCTATAATCCAAAACCTTTTAGTTCGGAATTCGAAGATCCGATTGTATCGCAACTATATAAACCTGGTCAACTCTTCCCCCAAATCATTTTCTCCTCTTCGCGACTGAAAACCCCTAATTCCCCCTGCCCGGTGATTGACCCTCCCCTCCGTCTAGCGCAACCCTCCTATCCATCCATTCGACACTCCCTCCGTTCGGCGACTCCCAATCCAACCCCTCTCCCTCCGGCGTAAACGTTTGCCCGCACATTTCTTCCTCTCCATCAGGCGACTCCCACGTCCAACGCCTACTCGTTCGCTCCCACCGTTCCTTCTCTCCGTCTGGCGACTCCCAATCCAACCCCTCTCCCATCGGCAATTGATTTTACCGGTATGCCCTAATTTAATTTTTTTAAAAAAAAATTGTTTGCCCTAATTGCAATAGGGCAAGTTAATTCCTGGTTGAATGGTGTCGATTGAATGGTGTATTCCTGGTTCCTAATTGTTTGCCCTAATTTTTTGGTTCATTGTTTGCCCACACAGATTTCTGGTTCATTGTTTTAGTTCATTGTTTATGTGTGTTAAGTATGGTGTATGTGCAAGCATGCTGTTTTGTGGTTAACTCACTCCTGTTTGTGGATTATTTGGTTGCCCTAATTCCCCTGCAATCTCTTTTGACTGTAAATTTAAGTGGATAGTAGAATCGTGCTCTGTGGCCTTTCTTCATTAATGTAGCTACTTACAACTACTTGAGTTGTTTTGTTGATTCTTGTTTGATGGTTAGTCCTAAAATTATGTTGAATGCTGGGTCACAATGTTCCCTTTGTCTTGTTGGTTACAAATATGCTTGTGAAAACAAGTTCCACACTGATTTACATATATTTTATATCTTGTTTTCTCCCTAGAAGAAACAATTTTGTTGCATGTGCAATCTGTTTTCGATTTTCCTGGTTCATTGATTTATAAAGTGGCATTGCTTGATGAATATATTCATGGTTGTTGTGTAGGCATACATGGCGAGTACATCTATCTAGCAATATAAAAATAAATATCTTCAACCGGGGCCGGTAGAAGAAGGATTATTATACCTTCAAAAACATCATAGGTCCAAAGCTGTGTTCGATAATTCGCAACCAACTTTAAAGACAAAGACTCAAGGGTCGTAGATATGATGCCAAGTTTTGGGAGATATACAAAACTACCGAACCAGAGGTTAAGGAATTCATTAAGATAGCTGGCTTTGAGAGAATAATGAAAGTAGGGTTGAAAAGAGTGGATAACGGTCTCATTACCGCATTGGTAGAACGGTGGAGGCCAGAGACTCACACATTCCACTTCAATTTCGGAGAGGCGACTGTGATATTACAAGATGTCGAGGTCTTCTTTGGTATCAATGTGGAAGGTGATGTGAACATCTATAGTAATCAAGTCCAAGATGATCAAGGTGTTCAGGTTCCAAGTACTATCCAACTCAAAGAGTGGTTTGAGATCCATTATCCAACATTAGAGGCCCAATGACTCGAGTTAAAAGTAAAAGGATGAAGAGTGCACTTAATAATCTTATATCAAATGGTTTAGCCTAGGAGAATGTCAAGTTTGGAAGTTACAAGTCCAAGATTATTAATGTGTTACAAGGCCCATTTGAGGAAAGAAATTTTGGCCCACAAACTAAGCAAGGGAGGCTTGGCCAGCATTTTAAAGGTACCTCTTGATGAATTTGATATTTCAATACAAGACAAGAGGAAACTTTTTGTTCTTTTTCTATTCTTTTCGAAGACTAGTTGCATTGCACACAAGCTTGTGCTTTGTTGATGCATGCGAGTAGAATAGGTGTTTTTCTACTTATGGAGCTTTGTTAGTTGTTCATTGGAGCCTTTTCGCTAGCCGTTCTATCCATAAATCGAAGGGATAGGATTGTTAGAGAGGTGACCGATTGGGTTGCTAGCCTTAAACACTTTCTACATCTTCTAAACATTTCCATCCTATTTTGGTGCAAATTTTTGTGGTTTGCATCTCTTCTTTTCTTTTATTTTTCGTGAGTTTTGGAGTCCATAATATTGGATTTGCAAGTTTTCAAGTCCCGGGATATTTATAGCTTCTACGTCGAAGTAAATCTGCCACCTTTGCCTCAAGATTCGTATCAGAAGGTCTTTCGGTTTACGGGGAGACGGTTAACCAAGGAGTAGAACTATGGCAGGAAAGATGTCAGAGTTTGTTGGGATTCACTCCTGCTGCTGATCAATTTCATGGTACCTTATCAGGGTTGGGGCTTTCGAGGAAGAGCTCATACATGCACTTCCTGAGGGTTCCTCAATCGAGCAATTCCAACAAAGGGCCCGGACATTAATCCTGTATTTTATGGCCAGTTTTATGTTTCCGGGAAAGGGCCAAAATACTATAAGTCTGCAGTTTTGAGCCATGTGGAGGATTTGGTGACTTGTAGTAAGTTCAGTTGGGGATCGGCCCTACTTGCTTGTTTGTACTCTGGCCGATGCGAGACATTCCAATATGACAAGAAGGATATCATCGGCTGTGTATATCTTCTATAGGTACGTATTAGTTTTCATTATGAGTTAGGATTAATTATGCTTTCGGCGCAATAATTTTAAATGTGCACGTTATTTTTTTTGGTTATTTTAGATATGGGCGTACGAGCGGATCGCGAGAATCGCACCACAAAGAGTACTGGTAGAGTATATACTTGATAAGACCGCTCCATTAGCTCAGTGGTGAGTAATGTTCAAGTTATAGTTGAGTAAAATTGTATCTGTTGGATCATTCTTCATATTTTTTACTACTATCTGGTTGCTGCTCAATGTTCATTTTTCTTATTTATTTTTTACTATATTATTTATATTAAGTAACACTTCGTGTTGGTTCATTAAGGTGGGAATGTAAGTACACCTACGAGAACGTCCCAAGGAGTAGTGTGCCACCTTTAAGAGATCAATTAACAGGTTCACGGATTGGAGATGTAAGTACTCATTAATTTTGGTTTTTAAACTTATTTTGCATTTTTTTTCTTTTGTGTTTTTATAATGCAAATGAATTTTTGTACAGTTTCAGTGGCAACCCTATGTGAACGTCCTTGGTTCTCTCCCTCAATTCTATAAATAAGGACAAGCCATTTGGACGGCCAGGACGTGGATGTTCTTTTGGGCTACTAGAGAACCGCATGAGTCAATTAGGGTTGTGAGACAATTCGGGTGCATACATGGTATTCCTCGAGACCGTATGATTGTGGACGTCAATGCATGGCGACTTGATCATGTTCATAGCATGTCTGGCCTATCGGACAACAATTGGGTGACCCACCATTCTAATTCACGCCCTCACTAGAACCGGGGACGGAATGTCCCAAAGGATTGACAGCCTGAATTCCCTGGCCAAACATCGCCGGACTATGATGAATGGTTCATGAAAAATACCGTGAAACTTATATCCAATCTCAAAAATTACACTCTTGTCGGATATGAGATTTCTTCGAGCCGCGTGAAATTATATGTGAGTTTTATTTTCATTTTTATTATGTTCTTTCATTTTTCTTTTTTATTAATTTTTGTATTACACTCTTCAAATTAATCTTGCATTTTCTTTTTCTAAATTAAGTCCATTTTCTTTTCAGGGTGAAGTATTGAACAACATTCTCATATGCTCCGAGCAGTTTAGAGACAAAAGTCGTGAAAAAGAACTCCTAGACAGTGAACTAGAGGAGCATTTGAATGATATCGTGAATCAAGTACACACTGCTTTGACCCTTGGCACAAATGATGAGGTCTCCATGGACGATACCTAAATCCTAGTTGATGATGATCCGACTAAACCATCACAACCTGCACAGGGTAAAAAGGCAAAGCTGTGGCCAAGAGAGAAGATTGGAGGAGGAAGAAAGCGAAAACTAGTGATCCCCCCACGGTCATCGCAACAACAAAATCAGGGTGAAGGTTCAGGTAATCAACGAGAGGTCGAGCAATATGCTGAGCAAGAAAATGATGGAAGGGAGATTGTGTCCTCTAGAGGGTCGCACACCCAGGACGACACACATGTTTACAACCTTGGTGCAGAGTCACAATAAATTAATTCGACAATAATTTATTGCCTTTTCTGTTGTGTAGCCTTTTTTTGCAACGTTTCAGTATTGTTGGTACTATTTAAAACAGGTTTGGACTGGTTTAAAACAGACAATTTTTTTTTAAAAAAAAGTAAAGGATTCAGATTTCAGAAATTCGAATATTCACAATTTCTATAAAACTCGGATTCGTGAAATACGATTGCCAGAAGCATCCGAGAGTTCGCATTTATCAGAGAAACAGGGGATTCGGATTTCCAAAATCCGTTTCCTTTCCAAGGGGTGTTTCGAATTTCAAAAATCCGTATGTTTCTTTTTTCGGATTTCAAAAATCCGTTTCTTATCTAATAAAATTTCCAATACCTGTAAAAATTTTCTTTCTCTTGGAAATTATATTTTAATCATTATTTCGGATTTTTGAAATCTGTTTCCTAGTTAATTATTTGAGGCAATAACATCTACTTGGTTCCAGTTTTAATTAAACCCGTTTCGGATTCGCAAAATTCGACTCTACGTAAATTCGAGTTACGCAAATCCGTGTCTATGTTGGATTCGGATTTCGAAAATCCGGCAGATGTAGTTTTGTCCGCACAATGTTTTGAAGGTTTATTTTTGTCTAGGTCCTTTTTCAACAAACATATTTTGGTAAAAAAACTTGTCATTTTTACGACATGGACCATAAAATAAATAACTTTAGAGAAAAATGTTTTTCATTTAGATCCTTCATGTTTTTCTATTTCCCTCATTTGTTCTTAAATTCTTGAATTAATTAGAAACCTGTTTATTCCTTCTTTCTCAGTTTTTGCCGGTGCAAAGTACGGAAGAAGAAAGGTAGAGAAGGCGCGGGGAAGAATAATGCACAAAACAGCACAAGGGTGGTTTTCCGGCGGACCAACTAACGATTTGCAGAAAGCGCCGCCGTCTCTATTAGCAGACTGGAATGCCTACGCAGCATCAAGGGATATCGAAGAATCTGCGGAATCTTCCTCCTCAACTTTAGGGTTTGATCTCGAATCTGCTGTTAGAACTGCCAATGATAAAGTATCCGGCACTTTCAATGTGTACGAACTCAGCTAACTTTACTTGGAATTCTCGATTCCTGTGTTGCGATTTCAAGTTTGTGGTTATTTTATATTTTTGATTGATTAGTGTTTGACTACTTCTGCTTTTTTGCTTTTTGCTTTTGTTATTACTAGGAATTTTAGACAATTTTATATGTAAATTGGTTTGAAGTTGCTGGCCTATGAAACTCTATTTTCACGTGAAACGTATTTGGTTTTTCTGTAATTTTTTTTTCTTGAAAGTTTTGTATTAATAATTCAGTGATGAGCAGTGTTTCTTTTTGTATGTAATTACAGAACATGGACGGTTTTATTTTGGCAATTGTATCTCTATGGCTTTGTAGCTCTGTCATCGATGGCTGGAGGCAGATTAGGTTTCTACCATGGAATTTATATCTTGTAGTAGCTGCAGCTAGTTGCCATTAAAATGGTCTTTTAGCAATTAGGGTGGGAATAGTCTTAAATCTGAATAATTTCATAGAGTTGCAACTCAAATTAGTATTCGTAATGGAATGTATGAAGTTAGATATCAGACCATCTGCCAATAGTTTAGCCAAGTTGATGTATTGGAATTAATTGTTCAAACATTTTGTTTCTATTCTTCATCTTATTGGCTTGTATCTAATTGAGATAGTTTCTGGCTTAGGAACTGAATACTGGTATTGGCTTGTTATTTTATTCTTGATAATATGACATTGAAAACAATGAAACCATGTATTTGATAATTTTATGCTCTGCTGACTACTATTATGATATTCCTTTTCAACTCCACCTAACACTTCATCTGTGTTCTGATTTTCGTTTTGGTTCTCAAGTGCCATACACTGATGAGATTTGGATGGGTACAGGTCCCACTGTAGAGGATAAATGTACGATATGGATGACTAGAATTAGAGAGTGTGGGCGTTAATGTGAAGCTTGTATCTGCTAAGTGTCATTTTTCTTTTCTGGTTTCTATAGTGTCGGTTCCTATCTCTACCTTGACAAATACCTCAGATGAAACCTTTCAAATGTCATGGATAAATTAGCAAAAGAGTGAAATTATTAGGAAAGTTTTGCATATGTATTTTTCTGATTTTTAAACTTTTTATAATGAAGACAATTGTGCAAGTAATTTTACAAAGAACTGAGAAAATAATGCATATACATGTCAAACATGAAAAATAGATGTATCATGAGAAGCACAGTTCCCAGGAGGTAACATGTCCTACCAAGTTTTCTTAAGTTGAACCGAAAAAGGAGGAATGGAAAAAAAAAATGATTAAAAATTAAATATTCTTCTCAGCGATTTCGTAGATATGCGACTAGTTTCTTTGCAAGCCAGTCTTGGTGGACCAAGAAGAAGGCCTCTGCTTTCAGTATAACTTTTGGGAATTTTGTGAAACATTTTTGCACTATATGTGTGTTAATATGTAGAGTTGTTTTCTTGTTACGTGACCCTTTGAATTAGAAATCTTGGTTTTCTCCTGGTTGTGGTAGTTTGTGAAACATTTTTGCACTATATTTGTGTTAGTATGTAAAGTTGTTTTCTTGTCACATGACTGTTTGAATTAGAAATCTTGGTTTTCTGCTAGTTGTGGTAGTTTGTATTGATGATGTACATGTATATTGAAATCATTGCTAACAGTTTATCCGAATCTTATAGGGTATCAAAAGGAGTCCGCGACCTGCCTGGGAGTTTTCAATCAGCCACAAGTAGTGTCCCCTCGGGGAAGTCTCTCATGTATTTTGCCTTGCTACTTGCTTCTGGGGTGTTCTTCATTATTATAGCTTTCTCCATATTTCTCCCGGTAATGGTGATAGCCCCTCAAAAGTTCGCCATCTGCTTCACAATGGGCTGTGGATTCATAATTGGCTCATTTTTTGCTCTTAAAGGTCCAAAAAATCAGCTGGCACACATGATGTCAAAGGAGGTAATCGCTGTTGCAATCATGATTATCCTTCTTTCACTTTCTTTTAATTGTCGAGCTCATGTTGCATTTGTTGTGTCACCTTCAGTCAGTACTCTTATCTTTTCTCATCAAATGCTACTGCTTTTCTTTACAGAGACTTCCTTTTACAGTGGGATTTTTGGTCAGCACTGTAGGAACGATGTACGTGTCCATGATGCTTCATAGCTATATTCTTTCAGTCTTTTTCTCTTTGCTTCAGGTATGGATCTATTCATTTGACTAGCTGTATCTGACTTTTTTGTACTAGTTATATTGCATTTCTGTATGCTTGTTCTTCTGTAATCGAGTGGGAAAGATAAGAGTGAAAAGCCTAATCAAAGTAAGACTTGGGGGGTGAGACTGCCAAATTTATACCAAGTGATGCAGAGTAAACATGTGGGGAATTGAAGTTATATTCTTATGAAAAAACTAAGGAAATGAAAATTTGAATTTTCTTTTTCTTTTTTCCTTTCTTTTTTGGGTTGGAACGTTTTTCTATTATCTTTAGTGACTCAATGCCACAAGACTTTGTTAGTAGAGTACAACAACCTGGAAACACCCTTTATTTTATACTTGGAAACAAAGATGCTTACCATGTTTTCCTCGATTTGCTGAATGAGTTCTCTGTAAGATTCTTGTAAAAGTAAATTGATTAATTAAATAATTAAATATATGTTTGTGCGATTGAAGTGTAAGTTCTTTATCGAATGGGTATGAATGTTGGAAATGTATGTCGTGAAAATTATTTTGTCATTAATGTGGCCAGTTTGAGTTGTATTTTTGAGCACCTATATCATAAATGTATTTACTTATTTTTCTGGTTTTAGAGATCAGAGAATGGTAGTTGACAAAAAACAAAATTGGATAATAGTCTGTTTGGGGATATTAAATGGCATGAGCCGAATTGAGTCTGTTTGTACTTTATATAGGATAGACTATATTTCCTTGATTGAAGGATTTAGATAATGTGCTGCAGTTACGAGCTTTGTTCTGTGACTTTCTACCTTCTGCCATATGATAAGACGGGTATAATCGAATGCATATATGGTTCTTATATTGCTTGCCGTTGTAAGATATGTGTAAATAATTCCTGAAAACAATAATGACATGATGAATACATCAAATAGATGATTCACGTCTAGTATCCAAAGTTGCCCCTTTTTCCTGCATTAGTGTTGCAATGTTGGCCATGATTGTACTTCAGATTATCCTCTCAGTGGTCTGCAACTGTTTGGTACAATGGCTGTCACTCCGCCTCATTCTGTATGGGATAGGTTTTTTCTTTAAGGGCATATGAATCCTTTCAGAGTTGGCGTGACCGTCACAGTCTCCTAAGATTTCAGTTTTCGTGTCAGCTTCTCATGGACTGTAGCAATAAAAAGAAAATGTAAATATCATACAGGTAGCTGGACTGCATTCTGTTCTAACTGCAAGTAGAGTCACCCTATTTCTGTTTTTTAGTGCTAAGATGGAAGGAGGGGTGGATTATGTAATAATTTAGATACATTTGTTTCCTGGAGCAGCAGTGCCTCATTGTTGTCTTCCTCTGTGTATTCTATCAGGTGATAGCATTGTCATATTATGCAATTTCTTACTTCCCTGGAGGATCAGCCGGCTTGAAGTTTCTTTCCTCAACCATTACTTCATCGATACTTAATTGTTTCGGACGATGAAAATTGAGGCCTACTTATTATACTGGTTCATCTTTTTATGGCGCATTCATAATGAAGCAAAAGCACCATCAGATGCCAAGTTTATTAAATGGAATGAGGCTGCAATGCTACAATTTTCCGTGTAAAAATTATAGGAATTTTTTCTTAGAGCCGACTTGTAATTGTACCTTGAAATGTTGCGATATTTTTTTTTTCCACCATTCACTCAAAAGGAATGGGTTAACAAATGTTGTGGATGTAAAAATGGCCTAGGAATGGCTTACTGTTGAGATGTGGCTAGCTGATATTGATTGGTTTCAACTGCTCTAGTTTTTATACTCCCTCTGAAAGACGAATACAAATTTTAAATTTAATAATATGAATTATTTTTTTTATTAGGACAGAACAGAAGTAGTAAGGCCTTGTTTGGACATCAACTCATTTTACATTTTTATTTATTTTATCTTTTGAACACAAAATCCAATGAAAAAGAAAACACCATCCAAATAACTTTCTGATTTACATTTTAAATTCCAACTTAAAACACTTTTTGTTAGTGTAATGACCATTTTAGAACTACAAATAGTTCAGTGACGAATTTGGCAGGATTCCGTTGTTGAGTGATTGTTTTTAGAAAAATTCTTTTTTGCAATGACCAAAATTGACAGTATTTGATCGTTTAGTGATGACTTGTACTTGATATTTCAAAATATAGCCAAACAACATTTTTATTTCCCATTTAGTTTTCAATTTGAAACACTTTCCACTTTTAAGTGGCAAAATGAAATGTAAGTTGACGTCCAAACAAACACTTATACTCCCCTTTAAAGAAAAATTATGCACTTTGTTTTTATTTTTATTTTTATTATTATTTTTTTGGGTATAGTATAATGTTATTTTAGTACAAATTTTAAAACTCAGTATAGATTATTTTCTTGAAATAGAAGTGTAAAATATACTCCCTCTCTTCAAGAAAAACTATCCACTTTGTTTTGTTTTTTTTGGTACAATAAGGAGGCTAATAGCTTGCGTGTTAATTATGTAAGCTAATACTGATTATGGTAAATTATGATGTGACAAGTCTTGTGAGCTAGTTTTTGATGTGGTAATCTGATATTGATTGGTTCTACTGCTCTAGTTCTTGATAAATTGTATTCTTTACTTTCAATAAAAACTGTCCACTTTATTTATTTATTTGAGTACAATAAGGAGGCTAAGTATGTTTGTTTCGTTTTCTTAAGACTAAACCGCATAAAACGTTCTGTACATTTGGTCGAACAATCATTTTCATCCCGTGTATTTGAAAATGCTCATTTACGTCCCATTTCATCCAAATAGAGCCATTTTTCGACTATTTACGTCCCAACGTAACTTTCCGTCCATTTGACCGTGAAAATAGAGGGTATTGTTGTTTTTTCGCTTCTCTTCTGGTTTTCAAGTATTTAAGGAATAAAATAATAATTAAATAATTATAAAATTTTTATAAATTTCAAAAATTCAAAAATAAAATTTTCATCAATTTAAAAGGGTGGGGCCGCAGTAAATAAATTTTTTTTATTAATTACCACTGTGAACAGTAGAATTTTTTTATAAAATATTAAAAATTTTCAAAATTCAAAAAAAATTCAAAATTTGAAAAAAAAGGAAAATGACTGAAGTAAAATTGTAAAGGCTGCGTAAAAACTTTTTTTACTGATTTGCTACAGTAACCGAAATGTAAAAAATTATTATTATTATTTTTGGAGAAATACTTAACATATTTTTCGGGTCTTTTTTGCAGCAAGTTTTGGAACTTTCGAACTCCATTTCAGAGTTCTCACTTTTGCGAAAACCAAAACTCCATTTCATCATATCTGGAAGGGATAACCAAATTCTAACCCTGAATCATAACGAGATGGACTAGAATCGGAGTGTGAGTGGTCGATTAAATCTGGGTTTCTGCAAATCGAGGAAATCGGAGTTTATCAGGTGAAAAAATGTGGCGAACGAAATCTAATATCCGAAGCATCCAACCAGACCATAATACAGGTGAGCTTAGGGTGTAAAACTCGATATTTGTATGTCAATAATTTGTTCTTTGTCTCTATGTCTGTCGAAAGAGGAGCAGAAGAGTTGTTTATTGAGTTGTTTATTGTATGGGTCCTGTTTTGGTTGCATGAATAGATTAAAAGTTGGAACTTTTTGGTAGCTCTGTTTATTATATGGGTCCTTGTCTGAAACTTAGAAGGGATTTTAGTGGGACATGAATGTGATAAAGTTTTTTTCACAAAAGCATCTTCCTTATGTAATTTTTAGCCGTTTTCGATTCTTTTATTTGTTGGAGAAGGGAAATCGATTTTTAAATTACAGCAAGTCAATGGATTGTGAATACAATTTCTTTTTCTGTCTTTGAACTTGTTTTTTTAAGGGTTGATGTGTACTGTTAATTTGTCTTATTCGTGCATTGATGAAAGTGTAGTGCCAAAATTGATTCAATAATTGAATAAAACTAGTTGCTGAATTTGTTTCTACTGAATGGATTCAATAATTAAACTAAAATAGTTTCTACTGAATTGTATAGGACCATAATAGTTGCTACAAAAAATGTATAGGATAAAAATAGTTGCTGCTAAAAAGTATTGGACCAAAATAGTTGCTGACATTCGTGTGGATTTTGTGCAGATGGTTTCTTCACCTGGAAGATTGTACAGAGGTAGATATGTCACCGCCATGCAGAACTGCAATGCAGATTACTGGTCAAAAATAGAAGTGGATGCATTTCTTCATGAGGATATGAAAATTCCTGGTGACCTAAGTTATTATTTCCTGGAACATGGAAAGGACATGGACGAAGGATTGGCGCTGCTGTCTTCCAATGATTCTGCAAATACCATGGCTGCAATTGGATTAGAGCATGGTTTGGTTGATCTGTTTGTGGTGCACCCAAATGAAGACGGTGAACTTTCTGATGATGAAGATGACCCGGTTGATAGTCAGCTTACACGGGAAGTTCTCACCCTACATATGGTAAATAAGCTTCTAAATGATCCATGGCCAAAACCAAGACAAAAGATGGCTGCTGTTAAGACGAAAAAAAACAAGAAACTGAGTGCAAAAAAGAAGAACAATATTTGTTCTGGTCCTGATGTACAGATTCTGGAGAGTTTAGATTGTGATGAAGGACCAGATGTACAGATTCTGAGGAGAATAGATAAGGAAAATTCTGATGTAGGTGCTGGTTGGTGATAAAGAAGGAGACGATGAAGAAATTGGATCAGACAGAGAGTCCAAGTGTGCTGGTGATGAAAAACCAGTTAAGGTGAACATTGTTTATGAACAAACATACAACAGCGAAGGTGATGCAACAGCAGCAGAGCAGGCAGAACTTGTTTCAGATAAGTGCAACAGTTACCAACTTGAAGCAGCAGCTGAGGTCAACACTTGTTCAATGAAACAACGCAACACCAGTGGTTCTGAAGAAGCAGTGCAGACAGCAACTGGTTCAGATAAAGAGTGCAACAGTGACCAACTTGAAGCAGCAGCTGAGGTGAACACTTATTCAAAAAATCAACGCAACACTAGTGGTTCTGAAGAAGCAGTGCAGACAGCAACTGGTTCAGATAAAGAGTGCAACAGTGACCAACTTGAAGCAGCAGCTGGGGTCAACACTTGTTCAAAAAATCAACGCAACACCAGTGGTTCTGAAGAAGCAGTGCAGACAGCAACTGGTTCAGTAAAAGACTGCAACAGTGAAGGAAGAAAGGGAAAAGGGAAGAAAAAGAAGAAGAAGAAGAAAGTGGTCAGAACATGTACAGAGTATAATTCTGATGATGATACCCTTGCTGAAATGCTAGAGAAGATCATGGCAAAAGAGGTAGAGCCAAATGGCAATGCTGAATTCCACGACAGTGACTATGACCTGGATACAAAAGAGGAAGAAATTATCGTTAAAGAGAGGGCAAAAGTTTGGGATGAGATTTTAAAGGAACCTGAGTTCAAACTACAACCTGAATTTGTTGCATATGATGAAGAGTTGGAGAGTTCTGGTGAGTCCGAAGAACTTCTCAGTGGTGAAGAAACTGAGTGTGAATCTGATGGAACACGAAGACCAATGTTTAGAAGGTACAACAAAAATACAGATTATGATAACCCAAGGTGGGAAATTGGGTTGAGGTTTTCTACGAAGGAGGAGTTCAAAGATTTGTGCAAGCATCAGGGTGTGAAGCTGGGGAAACAGATATGTTTCAAGAAGGATGATAAAGTCAGGTGCCATGCAGTATATAGAGGTGCTGAACGTAATTGCAATTGGCATGTCATTATTCGTAACAGGCCGAAAAAGTGTTACTGGAATGTTTCCCGCCTTAATAGGAAACACATTTGTGGTGGTAGGGATCACAACCATGGGTGTCCTAGTTCAACGTACCTTGCAAGGATGTTCATGGAGGATATTCGTATATGTCCCCAGACAACGGTGACTCAACTGCAGGAGAAACTTAATATGAAGATGAGTATGTATGTTCCCAGGGGCAAGGCAAAAAGAGTGAAGAATTTAGCCATTGAAATGATTGAAGGTAATATTGTAAGTCAATACAAACGACTGTACGATTATAAAGCTGAGTTGCTGAGAACAAACCCAGGCTCTACAATTGATTTGGATACAGAAGATCTGCCAAATGGTACTGAAAAATTCAAAGGCATTTATATATGCCTGGACGCGTCTAAAAGGGGTTACAAAGAAGCCTGTAGGCCAATCGTTGGCCTTGATGGATGCCACTTGAAGGGACCTACCAAGGGCATTTTGCTGACTGCAATTGGTATTGACCCGAATGACTAGACATACCCTATTGCATATGCTGTGGTGCTAACCGAGAACACATACACCTGGACTTGGTTTGTAAGGAACCTCCAAATTGATTTGGACATCAAGGATCCAAGCAAATGGACGATTATTAGTGACAAGCAAAAGGTGTGTTTTTTCAATTACTATTTTAAGGATTTTAGGTTTAGGACCTATGTTTGTTTGTATGCATTTGCTAATGTACTGTTTTTTAAGGGTTTTAGGTTTAGGACCTGTGTTCTGTTTTTAAAGGGTTTTAGGTTTACTAATCATTTGCTTTGTTGTAGGGATTGATTAAGGCAGTAAAAACATGTCTTCTCGGTGCTGAGCACAGAATGTGTGTGTGGCATATGCACAACAACTTCAAAATGGCATTTGGAAGCCCAACGTCGAAAGACTTGTTGTGGGCTGCAGCTAGAGCAACTTATCCTGCAAGGTACAAGACCATCATCGAGCAATTGAGAGTTCTAGAGCCCCAGGCTATCGATTGGTTGAGGAGCAACATAAACCCTAAGAACTGGACAAGGTCACATTTCAAGTATCATGCGAAGTGTGACGTTTTAGTGAACAATATCTCCGAGTGCATAAACAAGGTATTGCTTCCTGTTAGGGAAAAGGCCTTACTGGCCTTGCTAAAATGGATCTTTTTGTATCTTATGGAGAGACACCGTCAGAAGAGGGAAGCTGCTGCTAAACTGGTTGATGTTGTTGGCCCAAAAATAAGGAAGAAGCTGGAAAAATTAAAGGAGAGAATAGGTGAGTGTTGGACAGTGGGTGTTGGAGAATGGAATTATCAAGTAAGTACTAAGAGTGGTGAACATTTCACAGTGGATCTAAGGGCTAGAACTTGCTCATGCAGAAGGTGGATGTTGACAGGCATACCTTGCCATCACGCAATTACAGCAATCGGTCAGACTAAGGAGCCCGTTGAAGCTTATGTGCACAATTATTACTCGAAGGCAACTTATGAAACTGCTTACAAGTACGTCATTTATCCCACAAATGGTGAAGAAATGTGGAAAGAGACGAAGAAACCAGATATTATGCCTCCTGACAAAATTGTTCTAGCTGGACGACCTCCAAAGTCTAGAAAGAAGACTAAGGAAGAGTTGAGGGAAATGCGTGTAAAGAAAAAAGGTGATGTTGAGGTTCTGTCTCGGACTGGCACAATAACCTACAATGACCTACTGGTGGAGCTGTTCCATCTGAGCAGTCTAAGAAGAGGAAGAAGAAACCCAATACCAAGGGCCAGCCTAAAAAGAAGGTACATTATTTTTCAACATGTACAAGATGTTGTTCATTTATTTTATCTTTTTTTCTTTTCTCTCTAAATTGATGATGTTAAATTTCTAGGCAAAAAGGACTGTTCAATGTCAATTGTGTAAGCAAACTGGACATTATCAGACAACTTGTACAAGCACCATTGCTGATATGTACAGAGAAGAACCAAATGAAAATATGCCATCCACAGAAGATGCAGTTGGTAATCAGGATTTGGAAGATGCAACAATCCCACCCAAAGCAGATTAGGGCACTGTTGTATTAGGCTTTTGTTCTTCATATTGATGTATTTTGGTAGTTTGGTTGGATAGTTAAGCTTGGATTGTTAATATTTTGGATTAAAGTATGGATTGTTTAGCTTTTGGTTTAAAGTATGGATTGTTTAGCTTGGATTGTTGGCAATTTTTTCAGAGGAGGAAACAATGTTTTCTTTTCTTTTTTTTTCCCGACGGTCAGTATATTTGACCTGTGAAAGACTAAAAGTGATGGTATTGTATATTTGTAGTTTATTTTTTTATTTCATCACTAATTTGTGATTTGTAAGATTCTAACACGGATTAAGATTCTAGTAGACTTAAAGTCGATACATTAAAGTCCTATAATCGTAGATTTTATTAAAATCGGAAGTTTAAAAACCTTTAACTATTTTTGTCCTATGTATCTAAATCCTTAACTATTTTGGTACTAAACCTCAAAATCCTGTACTATTTATGTCCTGTACATCAAGACCTTCAACTATTTTGGTCCTATGGCTCTAAATCCTTGACTAATTTTATCCTAAACATAAAAATCCTTAACTATTGTTGTCCTATATATCTAAATCTTTAACTATTTTTGGTGCTATAAATAATGCATATCGGGATTTTTCGTACGCTAAATTGCAAAACAAAGTAGAAATACTCGATTTCGTTGAACCGTTTTGTTCAGATTTGTAGCGAAATACAAAATTTTACACACATGCAACCAAAGATAAAGGATTACAACTTTGAACCCATTATTAAAGAGGATTTGAAGTACACAAGAAATAAATTCTTGGCTTCCTTGCAAACCCATGCATAGGCTAAGGCCCTAATCAATTGCTGTGGGTTAGGAATCTCACAATAACATTCAGATTCTGAAGATTTGCACTCACACTCTCCCAAAACTCCATGGACGTCATCTTCATCATCACTATCATCAGGGTCACCATGCGTGAATGAATCATTTCTAGCAAAACATCGTTCTTCATCTTCGTCAAGTGCATAAACCACAACTAATCTATTGCCATCCAAAGCGTCAACACACATGAGGGAAAATAGCCGATCTTCCACTATCTTCTCCACTCCATTAACCTCACTAATAGAGTAGAATGAAACAGATCTGACAAGCCCAATCCTCCGTGCCATCTCATTTAATTGAAGAATGGAAATGGTTTCAAGATCAACATTATCGAACATCCTAAATTCACCACCATGATAAACTGGATAGGGCTTTTCATACAGACACCCACCATAGTACATTTGAATGCTCCCAAAACTGCTACTGCTAACTGATTAAACAGCATAAAAAAATGCTATTAATGCAGAACCATATCCTAGATTGAGTATAATTATAATCATACTTACAGTATACAGGAAGGAAGTCATCATTCTGGTCTTTTGGACGTGGACCAAAAGGCAGATTTGGGAGAGCCATTGTAGCAACCTTATGTGTTTTTTTCTGGTTTCTTTTTGACAGATCTGGGAATGCACCACTTATTGACTTTACCGTACTATTTTATGTTACCCAACAAGAGTGGGACCTTATTTTATAGGGTTTGTATTGACTAAACAGTATTTGGTGTTTGACCACGTAACGTGGGACGAAAAAAGTTTCCACACAAATGTAAGGTATGAAAAATTTTCAATAGAAAGTAGGGGACGAAAATAGTTGCAAAAATTACTCATTCAGTTCCAAACTTGGTACAACCAAACACAAATCAAAGTTCCCTCACAGATCGACATTCCACTACGATACATTATGATTGACATGGAGAAGCAAAATGCACTCAAAATACACTATCACTTACTTGCTAAAACCAGAAGAAGGACTAGAATACATAACAAACAGCTAACATGAAGAAATACAAGAATTTTATACGCCCACTTGCAGTTACACTTGCAAATGGGATTGCATCCCTCACTTGCCACATCGCGATTACCATCATTAACAATTTCATAATTTGTATCCACCCGCCCAACGTGCCTTCTTCTTAAATCATTTGACTCGTACCCAGCATCTCCGATCGGAACGACCCAGGCAGTAAAACCGTGATATGGGCAACGGTGATAAAGCCGCCCCGGATTATTTCTGCTACTTGATACCTTAATTGTGCATGTCGACCTACATTCATTGCAGATATGTTCATCGAACCGATAATTAAACGAATTATTACCGGTGTTGCTACTGCTAGAGGCGGCCATGGCTAGATCTGAATTGGTTTGTAGGAAGAGAAGAAGTGTTAATGGTAGAAGAGAGAGACGGCGACGGTAGAAGAGAAAGGGGCCGTTCCCCTTTTTTGTAAAGGAAAAAAAAATATTTTACTTTTAGGGTTTACTGTAACATCTTGGGTAAGAAGGTAAATGGAGCCATTTTCCTTTTTTTTTTTTTCAAATTTTGAATTTTGAAAATTTTTAATATTTTATAAAACATTTTACTGTTCACAGTGGTAATTGATAAAAAATTTATTTACTGCGGCCCCACCCTTTTAAATTGATGAAAATTTTATTTTTGAATTTTTGAAATTTATAAATATTTTATAAATATTTTATTATTATTTAATTATTATTTTATTCCTTAATTACTTGAAAATCAGAAGAGGAGTGAAAAGAGAACAATATCCTCTATTTTCATGGTCAAATGGACGGAAAGTTACGTTGGGACGTAAATAGTCGAAAAATGGCTCTTTTTGGACGAAATGGGACGTGAATGAGCATTTTCATATACACAGGATGAAAATGATTGTTCGACCAAATGTACGGGCCGTTTTATGCGGTTTAGTCTTTTCTTAAAGTGTGTGTTTAGGTGTTTTTTTTATTGCACATGTAAAAAGATATTATTTGGAAATATAAAAAGATATGATGGGATAGACAATTAATAATAAAATAATCTGAAAAAGCCAACCAAAAAAGGAAACCTAACCTGACCTAACACAATACAGTGAATTGTTTTTATGGGACAAAAAGAATTATCTCTTTTATATGCCCACCCATCTAAAAAAAAAAAAAAACTTTACATCTTAAATATAAATCTCAAAAAAAATATATATGTCATCCATACAATAATTTAATTTAATATTTAAAACTTATCTCAAAATTCATTTTACACAATTTTATGCTACCACCACCAGAATACCACCGTTGGCAGCGGATGGCGGCTCAGCTGTGGTAGAATTGGTCCGACGGTAAAAATAAGTAATATTATTTTATTTAACAAACCACACGTACAATTTTTTAACTTTCTATTCAAACTATATATTTTTAAATCAGATCTTAAACCCAATCAAACAAAATATTGTCCATACAAGGAAAAAAAAATTAAAAGCTCATCCATTAGTTGCCAATTCGGTCGATATTTAAATCATATCATGTGCTACTACGAAACATTTCAAGGAAGCAGAAGATGATCTTAAGCTTCTTTTTTGAAAAAAAATAAAATAAAAAAATCTTATCATTATAAAACATAACGTTATTACAAAGATGTCAAAGAAAAAGCAAGTATATGGACTACTTCTACTTGATTCCTAGAAATCTTAACAATATACTTTTGTTGAAGACAGATTAGAAATCTTGAGCCTTTTAATTTACTCTGCCATTGTTCCCGGTACCAACAGATCACTGGCTAATCAATTGAGAAAACTAAAATACGGAAAAAAAAAAACATTTACAAAAAAAAAAAAGAAAAGACAAGTCTTGCACGACAAGTTCTCAGAAGCGTACAGAGCCTTGTTTGACTCTTCACAGTTCACACTCATCAGATCCCACCACCATTTTGCTTCCGCGACAAACAAAACAAAAGAATTGGATAATCTTGGGCTCCAAGTAAATACTCCCTCCGAATCTCACAAAAATAGTACACATTAAATTTTGAATTTTGTATTATTTTTAATATAAATTTAAAAAGTCAATATAAGCTTTTTTTTTGGGACGGAGGTAGCATTTCTCTGTTCATGTTTTATGATTTTGGTAGCACCCACGGTTTTCTTCTTCTTTCTTTTGTTTGTTTTTTATTTTTATTTTTGTATTGTACTACACAGTGTCCTAAAACATTTACCCGGTTAATAAAGTTTGAGCATGGTTAATCACTTTGAAGACATAAAATTCTTCCAATTGAAATTTTAATCATTGCATATTTATGTTAATAGTTTGAATATTGATAATAAATTTCTTTCTTATGATGATTGTCGTTGCCCGTTCTTCCGCTAATCTGTCAGTTACTCTTGCCTCCTACTCTGTTCAAATAATAATCAAATTTTCTTTTCATCCAACTCACCCCAAATAAAATCTTAATGGATTTAATCTATTACATATTTATCAAGTAATCAAGTTTTAGCCCACTAAAACTTTAAAATGATCATTATTGACAACCTAATATTTGAATTCTCAACCCCACAATTACTTATATTATTCCAATTAACATTTCTATCCTTTTAGTATATTTATTTTTTAATAAGTTGGAACAGTGAAAAATTCCTTACGCTATAGAATGTTGAATTTTGTGGGCCATTGAGTTCTTTTTAGGTTAACCCCATTTTATTTAATGAATTATGATTTACGTGTTATATAGTCATATAAGGGAGAGAGTGCAAATTAATGATTTACGTGTTATAATTATATGATTTACACTTTGTAAGTAAAGACATGACTCGTGAGGTAAGCCGTGACTTCATGTCACTTAGCAGAGATTTTTGTTCAATTGGGTCCAACAATGATCGACTTTCGGTCGAGTGTCGACGTTTGACCGAATGAATTACTTGAAAAAGCTACTTTTTTTTTTTTTTTAACACCTTAAAAATATAGTAGAAAATATTCTGAATAAATTTAATATAAATTATTTTTGTGAGTCGGAAAAAATAGTATAAAAGGTGGACACGTTTGAAGAAAAAAAGGAAAACAGACAAAAGTACAAAACGAAAATGAAGAAAGCCGGATTGGTTTTCATCCCTGCACCTGGAATGGGTCACTTAGTACCGACTGTTGAAGCAGCAAAGGTTCTCAGCCAACAGAATGATCTCTTCTCGATCACAGTCCTCATTCTTAGGATGCCCTTCGATTCAACTCTGGCTCGCTACGCGAAATTTTTACCCGAATCGCCTAATTATTCTGGCATTAAGTTCGTCGAGCTCCAGCGGAAAGAAGAACCCGGCATTACAGATTTCATGAATCTGTACAAATTCATCGACAGCCACAAGTCCCACGTGAGGGAAATCCTCACCGAGATTTCAGCTTCCGGGTCGGGGATTCGTCTCGCCGGAGTCGTCGTGGACATGCTCTGCACCTCTATGATTGATCTTGCGAATGAATTCGGAGCTCCGTCGTACGTGTTCTTTGCGTCTAGCGCGGCAATGCTCGGTTTATTTTTCCATATGCAAACGCTCAGAGATGATTTCGACGAAGACGTCACGGAATTCGGCAAGAAGAACGAGGAATCGGAAGACCAATTACTGATAAATGTTCCGACCTACATTAACCCTGTTCCGCCTACCGTTTTGCCTTCTGTGTTGTTCGAAAAGGATGGAGCCTGCGAAATGTTGCTGAATCAGGTGAAGAGATACAGGGAAACAAAAGGGATTTTAATCAACACTTTCTCCAATCTCGAATCTCATGCTCTGCAGGCTTTACGAGATGAAAAGTTTTTCAAGAACATTCCCCCTGTTTTTGCAATAGGTCCTCTCGTCCGTCTTAATCAGGAAATTTCTGATGATCATTCAGTGATTACCCAATGGCTTGATCTACAACCAGACTCGTCTGTTGTTTATCTTGCTTTTGGGACTTTAGGCTCTTTTGACAGAGACCAAGTGAAGGAAATAGCTCAAGCACTCGAACAGAGCAAATGTCGATTCCTCTGGTCTCTGAGAAGGCCACCGCCAAAAGGGAAGATTGAATTTCCGAGCGAGTATGACAATCTGGAACAAATTCTGCCTGAAGGGTTCTTGGATCGAACGTCGGAGGTGGGAAAGGTATTGGGATGGGCACCCCAATCGACGGTATTATCCCATCCGGCAATCGGAGGATTTGTTTCACATTGCGGCTGGAATTCGACCTTGGAGAGCGTTTATTTTGGCGTGCCGCTGGCAACATGGCCGATATACTCTGAACAGCAGGGGAATGCTTTTCAATTGGTGAAGGATTTGTCAATGGCGGTGGAGATAAAGATGGATTTCAGGAAAAGTTTGAAAGGAGGCGAATTCACGTCTGAGATTGTGAGTGCTGAAATGATTGAGAGTGGAATCAGGCGTTTGATGATGATGGATAAGGAGAATGTTGGAGTTAGAAATAAGGTAAAAGAAATGAAAGAGAGAAGCAGGGCTGCCCTGATTGAGGATGGATGTTCTTATGCTTCACTGAAATGCTTCATAAAAGATGTAATGGATAACATATCATCCCATTGATTGAAGATTGATTAACTCTTCCGGTTTGGTCTCTCCAATGGTGATGAATCCTATTTTCTGCATTCTGAAATTTGATTCTGGTGCAAACTGGCAATCATGTGTGTTTATATTCTACTACTTGCTTATTTTGTAATGACTTGGACTTTTATCTATTTTCGATGGTTATTGAGAAGCCCAAGTTGGACGGAGAGGAAAACTTGTTGCATGTTCGATGAAATAAAAGTATCTTATCCGTTCTATTTCTTTGTCAACTTCAATTTACTGTGTAGGTGATAATAACACATTCGTACTTGATCGAAAGCCGAAGTTTGAAAATTTGGTTAACCTATCCGCGGAATAGAGTAGCAATTTCTTTGGCTAACCCGTTTAAAGTAATTTATCTTACTATATATTAAAGGGAATTTTTTTCACAAGACACAAATAAGTCAATTAGTCCATCACTAATTTTTAAGTACATGTGTCATCTTTTCATTCGTTGAGATTTTTTTGTAGTACACATATCATCTTTTAATTCGTGAATTTTATTAAGTGGAAATTTATATAAGTAACATGGTTATTTTAAACACGGTAAAATAGTTATTTTCTAAAAAATAATAACTTTCTACCAATTAGAAGATTGACTTCTAGATTGATTGATTGATTTATTTGAGGTGAAAAGGGTCTGAATGTCTTTATTTGTTTTGTAACGAGAACTTGAGTCACTTACCCCCCTTTTTTTCGAGGAACAAAAAAAACATATTTACCTCTTTAAACAACGTGCGGCGGCATCAATTATCATTTGGACTATGAACCCAATATTCTTAATTTTTTTTTTATTATTGTAAAGATCTGGTTTGAAAATTTCAAAATGTCAACAAACATGATTTTCGAAAATTTAAAATTTAAAACTAACACATATTTGGAAAACATCACGGGGAATCATAACAAATGCGAGATAATTTGCATTAAATTGGAGATAATCCTTATAATTGAAATTGAACTTATCATAGCAATTTCAAATCTTCCACCGGCGCTGCCAGACTTCAACCCTAATACCGATTAATCCATCGCTATAAATTATTTTTTCATTCATAATGATTTTATTTAAAATTCTAATTTTAATTCTCTCCGCCTGTCGCCTCTTTCTCTCTTTTCTCTTCGGCTTTCTACACCAAAACTATACACCACTGCTTATTGCGTAACGAGTACTGTCTGACAATTGATGCCGCCGTTGCCTCAATGACTTCATCTCCTGTTATCGGGTCTCTCCTTCATCTCCTTTCTTATTGTTGCCACCGGTAAATATTAAAGGTCTCAAGAACATGGAAAGCACATTATGTGAAAAGCATTGTCTATGCTGGACTCGAATCCATTGTCACTTCTTTATCTCTCATTTCTTCCATCTCCGGAGGCCGTCTCTCTTCAGGTGAAAACTCATTAAAAGAAGCCCTGAAGTTTTGTTACGTATATATTACTGATTCATTTACCCTTTTGTTTAATTTCTTGAGTAGTGGCTGTTTTTGTGCTGGGATTTCCAAATCTGGTTGCTGATGGAATATCAGTGAGATTTAGTGATTTTATATCGACCAGGACGGAGATAGACATGGCTGAAAATGATGTTTCGTTAACCAAACGGGAAGTGACAAATCATTGAACCAATGTAGAGCACGAACTCATTGAGAAATACAGAGACCTTGGGGTGAATTCCGACGACGCGACGACAATAGCGAACATATTGTCAAAGTATAAGGACATAATACATAGAATTCTTTGTTGCTATGCAGGAATGTGGTGAATTTCTAACTTATGTTCTTCATTTACTGTTGTTAATCACTTTATATTTCTTGATTTTTTTCCGAGCCGATGTTGGTGTCGACAGTAGTATCGCAGGGTAGCTCTAAAGTGGTCTATCATGCCGAGAGTTCTTTTGGGTTTTTGTTTATTCATTTAACTCTGTTGATGCGATATGCAGGTTATGAAATTGGTATATAATCTCTTTGTCTCTACCCCTCGGGAATGGTGGTAAGCTTAGCTCTATATGTCTTGGTATAATATATATTCCATAATATTTTTACGATCGTGTTTAATATTTAGATTGGATGCAACTTTGGGAAATCTGTTTCTCAAAAACAAAAAAAAAAATAAAATAAAATTATGCTTCAGGTTGTCATAATTCTAATGTTCACTTATATATGCCTTAATGGTAGTGAGTTTTTAAGTTCCTTAGGATGCATACAATCGGTTGTACAACCTGCATTAACAAAGGTTTTCAACATAAAATGTTGCGAGAACTCGCGTGTAGAAAAATTACTTTCTATATATGTTTGGATGTCCTCTTCTGCTGATATGTAATCATTTTTAATTTTACTTGTGGTAATTGTTTTCATGCTCTAAATTATTGAATATTGAAAATTGTAGGCCTCAAAGTACACGGTAAGGGTTTGGGCTGTCAAATAGCGAGAAAGGATCCACATGTAGATGAAATGGATTTGGGAATTTTCACAAAAAAAAAAGCAGAAAAGAAAGCGGTGTAGAATGCGTTTCTTGAGTTGTTTTAAGCAGAAGAGACAAATGCTTTGGAATATTTATTTAGTGATGAATCTCCAACTTTCTGTCATTGGAGTTGAGTACTTGAGGTAGCTTTGAGGGTTTGGAAGCAGTTGTAAAGTAAGATTAGAGTGAGGGTGTAAACACTAGAGACTTTTGCTATGCATGCTTTGGTAACTTTTGTTTTTCGAAAATAGAGATTCATTTTGACCTCTTTTTTGTCATTGATATAGCATTGGATGCATCTTTTTTCTAGATTGGCTAACCAAATGATGTTTACTTTGGGAACACTTTTTAATGCCCCTTCGCATTCAATTTGGGAATTGGTTCAAATTACAAGTTTATGGATACTTTCAGATATTTTGCTTCCCTAAACCCTAAAGACAAGATAAGTCGAATCAAATTGATCCTATCATTATAATTTCAAATCTTATTACTATTTATAATTTATTTTAAATTTCAATGAATTTCTTTGAAAAATCAATTATAGTAAAAACAATAAAAATAATAATTTGAGTATCTATTTGATTCTAAAAAGAAATGATGTGGGTGACTAGCTATAAAAGTAAATTAGTATATTTTTACGTTAGTCATTGTTGTACGATTTCCAGTTAGTTAATATAATATAAGTTTTTATTTCAGAGAAAAATACAACCCGTACAACGAAGTTAAGAAAGAAAGTGGGACTGAGGCAGGATGCTGATCTCAATTTATCTGCAGAAAAAAAGGAATTTTCTGAATGGTGAAGGAAAAACAGGTGGACTTAACACCGGAGAAGTAGAAATCAAAACCATTCACTAAGCTATAACTCATTCCTTTCTCGTTTTTTTTTTTTTCAAGTTAAGAATTAATTTTAGCCATTTTCTAACGTCGAAAACAACAAATGTTTATTGTGATGACAGTTTGAGGCATTTTCTCTTCCACGCATTGGCTCAAAAAGTGAGTTTTTAGTGTAAAAGCGTTTTAACTTTATATTCGTCATTAAATGAAAAGAATGATAATATTGTTTTTTTTCAAATTCATACACGACTAATGAAGCAACTTGGCACCTGTAGAAATATACTGGTCTTCCATGTTTTTCATTGAGAAGAGAAAATGGCGTGTAATGCCGGAGGTGTAATTCCAAATCGTTCAAATGGATACGATTGACTGTATATCACTAAAATCGAGACTTGTTCATGGAATATTTTCCATTGTCTTTCCCACACCACACCTCACTGCGCACAAAGCGGACTCTTCTATTTTTAGTCTATTAGTTAAGCCATAAGTCATTGAGACTAACAATCAAACACCTAGCATGCATGTTTTACAAATACAACTCTAGGCAATTATTTATCATACCCATTTCATTCAACCTCCAAAAATCAAAACCAACAGCATAATTCAGGCAGATAAAAGGACAAATCAGATTGATAGGAGGAAATTATTGAACCAGCCTACGAATCGATGATTACCTTTGCACTTTGGGGGAAAAGAACATTCCACTTAGCATAAAGCATAAATCGAATGGGAGTAATAGCGAAGGTGAAAATAAACGGGAAAAGGCAGCCGGGTTTTTTTAATAAGGAAAGAGAAGATAGAGGTGGCAAATGCAACGGGAGACAGAATTTAACAGAAGATAAGAGAAATCCTGTAGAAACTTTGCTGGGAAAGCCCAAATGAAACCACGAAAGGGGAACCGGCAACCGAAAAGGGGAATAAAGGGAAACAAAGGTAGAAGGAAATAGAAGGCGGCCTCAGCAAATCGGCAATTGACACGCGGACGGAGTGGAAGGGCAACGGCCAAGAAACCGTGCCAAAAAGGGACATTCCCTCTTTAACGCCGTCCGATTGAAGAACATCATATTTGGGGGGAGAAAAAACGCAAAACCCATTGATTTCAAATTCCACAATCTAGGCAACATTAAGTAACACGATTCTTCATCATCCCACTAAGACGAAGAAGTCGAATTAGAAAATTGAAAAATGGAGGAACAAAGTTCAACCCTCTGCGAAGGGAGGGGTTTGGACAGAGGAAACTGGCATCGGAAGATGGGACAATTGAACAAACGGGATGGAAAATGACAAAAAAGAAGCAGGTCTAATAAGTGAAGTACACATAGTCTATTATGACTATCAACTTGAGAACTGAGATATCACCGGCAACCGAAAGAGAAAGTGAGGCGGAGGAAGTGAACGACCAATATGGATGAGAAGCGGTCAAATAGGACGGCACCATGTCAGCAAATAAAGCGGGTAACTGACATGAAACCGTGCCACAAAAGCGGATTCCCTCTTTATATTAAGTAGAAACTAGATTTATCCCAATAGATTGATCAATTTGAAACTCCAAGAGTTCTTCAATGAAAGGACCATGCGAAGTTAATCCGGTCATTTCTGTTTATAATTCTTTTTATCCAAATAGATTGGTCAATTTGAAAGTCCAAGAGTTCTTCAATGAAAGGACCGTGCGAAGTTCGTATACATAGGACACAGTTATAGATGTGAGATAAATTTATAATTATATAACCATGTGAAATCTTTGAGGAAAAACTGAACACAAAAGTAACTAAAGACCCGCACAACTTGCGGGCACAATCTTTGACATATCCAACCCAAATCCTCATTTATCGCCAATCTTTGACATATCCACATTTTAGACACCAATCTGCTCATTAAATCACGAATCAAGGATGCTTATAAAGTTTTTTTTTTAAAAAAAAAATTACGAGACCAAATTCAATTACTACGAACAACTACTACTACTTTTACTAAAAAGAGATAGCCAATGTTCGTATATTTTGAATAATCCAATCCTTACTCTAAACTAGATTGGATTGTGTTTTCTATTAAAATTTAGCCTTCATTCACTAAATATGAAACACCGGTGAGGGTGTCGTTTTTGCTTGAGGAAAAACGAAAATGTGATGGCCATTTTGGCCTTTTCAGCGTATTTTTATTCGAAGAAAAGGATTATGAACTTTTTTCAAAAAACATGTGTAAGTCAATTAGACCATCAATAAGTTTTATAGTACACGTGTCATTTTCTAATTCGTAGAGAGTTTTGTAGTACACATGTCATCTTCTAATTCGTGGATTTTTTTAATGCACTTCATATGTGTATTTTATAAAATTAAATTGGTAATATTTTTTATGAATTAACTTTCACCTATTATCGGTTAAAACCTTCAACCGATTGTAAAGCCAACTCCGAAATGACCGGACAATTTCATGCTGGTCTTCATCGGATTGGTACTTGCGGTGACCACCATTAAGCTTCTCATCATTGTCGTCGCCGCCGACTCGCTTTCCAGATTTACCTAAAGAGAGAATGATACTAATGTACCTACTCGCCGACTTGCCGGTGGCTGCTGTAAAAAGAGAGAATGATACTAATTTAAAAGTCTATATATTTTGAACAAAAATAAATCAGAATTATTGGAAGAGAACAATTACCCTCGAACTTATATATTATGCATAGACTTTTGAAGCAAGGGAAAAATTTGATAGAAAAAAATGGATAGAATCTTCAAATACTAAAATAAAGGAATGTCAAAACTACTAAAATAACAGGCAAAACCATTGCAATTTTTTCACCTACCAAAGACTCAAAACCTTTTAAGTGAGATAACACAAAGTGACATGTTGTTAAGGATAAAAATGAAGATGGAATGAGACCCACCAGTTGTTTTTCTTTTTCTTTTTTTTTTTTAATTCAACAGGCTGTTATAAATACTAAAATAGGAGCTAAAACTATTGCAGATTTTTAACCTACCATAAACATAGAACCTTCAAGCAGGACGATGCAGAGTGACATAACAGACAAAACCATTACAATTTTTTAACCTATCAATGAATCGGAACCTTTTAAATGAGATAACACACAGTGACATGTTGTTAACGATAAAAATGAAGATGTGATGAGATCCACCAGTTCTTTTTATTTTTTGGTTCAACGGACTATTATAAATACTAAAATAGCAGCTAAAACCATTGCAGATTTTTAACCTACCAAAAATATAAAATCTTTAAGCAGGACGATACAGAGTTACATGATGTTAAAAATGTAAATGAAGATGGAATAAGACTCACTGTTTTTTTTTTCAACGGGTTGTCAAAAATAATAAA